CAGCCTCCTGGCCATCGCTCGGACGTCCACTCCCTGTGCTTTTTTCGGTTTCGTGCGTGGTCTCTTCGCCAAATGATCAAGGATGCTCCTCGATGGTCCTCGCCGCAAGAAAAATGCACACGTCCGAGCGATGCCAAGCCTCGGGGAGGAGGCCCGGGCTTCCGGGGACTCCCGCACACTGAAAAAATCTGAACGGCGGGTGTCTGGGAGTGTGGTCCGAGCAGCTGGAGCCGGAGGATCGCACCGGCGGCGAGGGTGATGCATCGGCGACGTCGGCGTGGAGAGAATCGGGCGTGGAGGGAGAAGCAGCCTCCACCTCGCGCCGCATCGCCGGTGCATCGGCGACGCGGCGCGATCCTCCGACCCCACCTGCTTCGAGCGCATTCGGGAGGCCTGGGCTGGACGACGGCCAGGTCGAGGCAGATCGAGGCGGAAGAATCGTATATCAGATTTGACCAGCGTTTGACTATGCGTTGCCCTTTCTCCTCGCCTCCAGGGGCCTCCGGAGGCGTTCGGAGGCCTCCGGGGACCTCAGAAGGTCCAGATCCCGGGATCCCAGGCGGCAGCAGAACTCACCACAGGATGCCGGAGCCCAAACAGAAGCAGATGAGCCTGAGCCTCATGATGAGGGGGTCCTTGCCGCACTGGGCGCAGGTGAAGCTGGCCCCTCGTCGGAGGCCACCTTCAGCAAGACCTGTGGCTTCCTCTACGCTGGCGTTCGCCCAAACCTTGCGATTGCCAAGGTGGACCACTTCGAGGAGCCAACCCAGTCGGCCAATCATAAACGTTAAACAAATAAGCATAACAGGGCGAAGTGGACTTGTCCAATGGCGGGAGCTGCCAGGGCCCGCTTCACTGAAAAGCCACCGCTTCGGAGGCCAGGGAATGCAGCAGACGATCGCCAAACGGACGTCCTGTAGCAACCCACCCACGGCAGCTTCAGAGAGGAGAACTATAAGCAGCAAGAACAGGTGAGGCATAAAGCACACAAACATTCACTTGAACTATGAAAGGATGATTCGAGACCATTGGGCGCACATGGGATACACGTAGATGTCAGACATGTCCATGAAGATGGGCCGAAGAGTCAGGATACAAAGGTAATTCGCTGCACACTTCAGCATTGCGTGGAGGTTTGGCTCTAGATGTCCAGTGTGTGGCTTCGTGAGGATCAAAATCACCATTGCGGATCACAGATTCAGACTAAATCCACGCGGATCAGAACCCTGCAACGCAGACCACACTGATAACGAATACCATGCTGTCGCCCTTTGATGTTTCCCCATCTCCTCGTCCGTCCCCCACATCCAAGGCATCTCAGTTTCACCAGTCCCCATCGATCCTGAACTTTGGAATGTTGCCCTGTTGTTTTCGGGCGTGGCCCGAATTTGTTCCTCGCGAGGTGAACTGACTGAGCTGAACTGAACTGACATGAACTGAAATGAACAGACTGGTCGCACCCGTTACGCGACGGCTTTCTTCTCGGCCACCAAGAGCGAAACCTGGAGCAACTGATAGGAGACGGTTATATTCTCGGACGCCGAGGGCGCAACCTATGGCGCAACCGATAGGAAACTGTGTTATTCTCGACCGCCGAGGGCGCAACCTGTGACGCAACCGATAGGAGACCCTAGAGCGCATTCGATAAGAGACGGCTTTATTCTCAGCCGCCAAGGGCACAACCTATGGCGCAACCGATAGGAGACGATTCTACTCTCAGCCGCCGAGGGCGCAACCTATGGCGCAACCGATAGGATACCGAGCTGGAGCAGGAGGAAGACGAGGAAGACGAGGAGGAAAACGAGTAGTACGAGGACGAAGTGTGGGCATTCGAATGCGTGCGGGGCTACGCCCAATTTATGCTCACCGTTTGGGCTGGCGGTCCAAACGGCGAGATGTATTGTGATTTGTTATGTCGGATCGTCTTTGTCTTGCCCTCTTACGAGGGAGGAGGAACGGAAAGGGGAGACGGGGGATTAGGAGGAGGACTAATGAGAAAGAGAAGAAGAAGAAGAAGAAGAAGAGGGATAGGAACAACACTATGGCGAATATTCCAAATTACCAGTGCATGTGGAACTCTTGTTGCGTGCAAGATCAACTGGACTTCGCCAAATAATCAATAGTTGAACCGTGCGTCTGATGCAACACAATACCTCTGTGAACAATCAGCTCGCCGGCACGTTGAAACGACTGAGATATTTCCCCAAATGCATATGTTTGCATATGGTGGCAACGTCTCCACTTTCACTGCACAATCTCCAATCGTAGACGTTCGGCCCTGAAAGTCACGGCAAGGAAATCGGCAAAATGATGGACACCTGCTGCTCGCTTTCTCCAGAAAGGCGCCTCTCTCTCTCTGCAACGGTGGACCGGCCTTCGCACTCCGGGGCATCCTGCAAGTCAGGCCGGGACACGGGCATACGGCCGACCCCCTGGCTCCAAGAACGCCGACGTCTCCCGTTCAATCACCCCCACGGGCTTCCGCCCGCGGGCCCGCCGTCGTCTTGGCGCCCACCGGCCCCGGGGTGGCAGGTCGAGCTCGACGGGAGCCCCGCCGACCTGCCGCCCCGGGCGCGACGCGCCGAGGGCGAGGCCCCGTCTGCAGGGCCCCGCACGGCGGCACCGGCCTCTCGCCCTCCTCCAAACGAGGGGCGGAGGACGAGGGGAGGAGGCACGCGGCGCGCGCTGCTCAGCCGGCGGCGAGGCAGAGGCGCTCCGCTCCAGCGCGTGGCAGCTCGGGGCCACCGAATGGCTGAGCGGCCGGCGTGCAAGAGAGGGACGAGAGGACGAGGGCGGCGGCGCGGAGGGAGGGGGGGAGGAAGAGCACGCAAGCACGCGGCGCACACGCGCGCCCCCTGTTTCCTGCCCAAGGCCACCGGGCACAGCCGTACAGCTCAGTCTCCTCTGGGGGGGCTGCCGCCCGAGGCTCCCCGCGGAACAAGGCCTGCCGCGGGCGGAAGACACATCCGTATCCGCGGCCCGTGGGCCGGGCCCCTGGGCCGCGGCCCCGCGGATGCAGAGCGCGTTGTCGCGGATGCCCCGCGCGGAAACGCACGGAAGCGCACCCGCGCGGGAACACGTGTCCGCGGGAACGCGCCTCGTGTCCCAGACCGCGAGGACGCGGATACGCACGTGTCCATCGCTCGTGCGCGCGGGCAGGCTCCTCTCCTCTCCAGACATCCGGACGCTCCACTCGTGTGTCGATGCCTAGGCCCCCGGAGGCCTGGACAACTTCCCTACAGGGCTGGCTTTTCGTCCTGCCTCGTTTTTTCTGCTGATGGTCCCGGGGCCCGTTGATAGAGGGGATCGGAGTGGATGGGGTCGGAGGATCGCGCCGCAGCGCCGATGCATCGGCGATGCATCGCCGATGCAGTGTCGATGCATCGGCGACGTTGGCGATGCGTCGGCGGCGTCGGCGTGGACAACATCGGGCTCCACATCGAGCCGCATCGCCGATGCATCGCCGATGCGGCGCGGCCCTCCGACGCCAGCCACTCCGATCCCACCTCTATAGGAGGCCGAGAGCATCGGTTTTCGTTGATGGCCCCGGGGCCCGCTGAGGGGTCCCCGGGGGGCCGGCCGCTCCCATTGTTTCGGGTGTTGCTAGAAGTACCCCTGGCCCAAGGTGCCCCCAGCTTCTCGCTTCCTTTTGGAGCCCCCAGGGACCTCTGGGCCTCGAGAGGGGCGCTTTGGAGGTCGCTTGGGCTGCCCCGACTTGGGAGAGGACGAGAGGGAAGAGAAGGAGGAGGAAGGATGAGGTTGAGGAGGAGGAAGAGAAGCAGGAGGAGGGGAGGGAGAAGGAGGACATGGAGGAGGAGGAGACGGAGGAGGAGGAGGAGGAGGAGGAGGAGGAGGAGGAGGAGGAGGAGGAGGAGGTTGAGGAGGAGGTGGAGGAGGTTGATGGCTGGGGGCACCTTGGCCCAGGGGCACCTCTGGCAGCACCCCGCCGCTGCGGGGCCTCGCGCCGCCGGGCCTCCTCCGCTCCAGTGCCGCCGCGAGGGGCGGCGAAGGGCGGCCGCCGCGGCGCCGAGGGGGGCTCCGTCGGAGGGGGGGCGCCCTCGCGCTCGCGCGCGCGCCGTCTTGGCGGGCCGGGCGGCCCCCTCGACGGCAGGGGCAACGGCAGGGGGCGCGGCGGGAGCGGCCCCCTGCCATCGAGGCCGAGGGTGATCGAGGCCGAGGGTGTGGAGGCGCAGGGCTCTGACGACGGAAGACTCGGGCTCGGGGGGCGCGGGCGGGCCCGGCGGGGCCGTCCACGAAAACCACGAGACCCCGTCTGGACTTTGACGCGAACTCCCGCCGCAGAACGTCCCACGGGGCCGAACGGTCAAACGCGCTCGTCGGAGCCACGACGGCAGACCCGAGATCCGGCTTACTCGAGTCTTACGCTCCCCGCGATTTGGGGGTGGGGGAGAGGCGTGCGGCATTTCATCCCTGCCCCTGCTCGCGCCCCGAACCCCATAGGGGGCGGAAGAGGAGGAGGAGGGGGAGGCGGAGGGGGAGGGGGAGGGGGAGGGGGAGGGGGAGGAGGAGGAGGAGGAGGAGGAGGAGGAGGAGGAGGAGGAGGAGGAGGAGGAGGAGGAGGGAGGAGGAGGAGGAGGAGGAGGAGGAGGACGGGGAAATGGACAAGGCCCTGGCCTGCGCGGCCACGTTTTCTTTGCTATGTCCGTGGCCTCCTGGGCCTGGCGCTCCGAGTGAGGGCAGCAGAAGGGGCATGGATCGAGCGTCGATCGCCGTGGGGAGCAAGACGAGGCGGCACCACCGCCCCCCCCCTCTCGCTCGGGACACGCCCTGCCCGAAGCTTGGAGATTTGTCGTGGAAGCTCTCGCTGGGAGTGGCCTCCTGGTGGTGGTGGTGTCGCCTCTCCTTCCTTCGAGGAGGGTGGGAGCATACGACGAAGGCAGGATGAGGGGGTGCGAGGACTCATGGCGCTCAACGCCGCGCTGGTTCCAGCCGCCTGAAGGGTAGGAGGAGGATGCAGCAGGGGGGGGCAGAAGGGTGGCTCACTTTTTCTTGCCCTTCTTCTTCTTGCCCTTCGCAGCGTCCTGTCGCTACGCTCTGGAGTGGGAATCCACAGAGGTCGCCAATCCGCCCTTTTCCTCCACCCTCCTCCCTCCTTCACTCTCCCTTCCCAGTCCTTGCCCTTCCGTCCCCACACAGCATGTCCTCCTTCCCTCTTCCTCCTTCCTCCTTCCTCCTTCCTCCTTCCTCCTTCCTCCTTCCTCCTTCCTCTCTCCTTCTCCTCCTCCTCCTCCTCCTCCTCCTCCTCCTCCTCCTCCTCCTCCTCCTCCTCCTCCTCCTCCTCCGTCCCCCACGTATCCTACTCCTGCGCCTGCCCCCATCCATCATCTGTCCTTCACTCTCTGCCCGCAGCCATTTTGACTCACAGCGAGCTGGATCACGGCAGGCCCTCGCTGCTCGCGCGCCCCGCGGGGGCCCGCGGGCGCGCGACAAATGACCGCCGCCGTCGCCGTGGCTGGCATCAAACATTTTGGCTGCGGCGAGCGCTCGCGCCCGGGCTCGGCGCCTCCGCCGCGAGCGGCGGGCGCAGCTCGAACAGACGCGGGCCGCCGCGCTGGACCGCCGGCTGCGGCGCCTCCGCGTGGCCCTGGACGCCCACTGGCGCCTGGGCGAGCGCTGGGGATGCCACCGCCGCGCGAGGGGCGCCGCCCAGACGGCGGCCCGACTGGTGGGGCTCGGGGATGCTGGAGGCCCTCGAGGAGGGCCTCGAGGCGCTGGAGGCGGGCCATGGGCGCCGCCCCGCCCCGCCGCCAGGGGCGGCTGGCGCTGGGCCGACGCCGGCGGGGCTCCAGTCGGCGGCGACGGGCCGCCTGCTGCTGGGCGTCGCCGCACCTCTCCGCGCGGCCGCGGCGCCGCTCGTGGGGAGGAGGCACGCCATGGAGTGCAGGGAGGGCGAGGCTGTGGACACGCTTTTGAGCCTGCTCGCTCAGGGCGAGGCCAAGCTGGATTTCGAGATCTCGGAGCCCGCGGACGCCGAGGCGGTTGACCAGGAGCTTCAGGATGAGAAGATGCTGGTGCACGAGGTGGATGCCGTGGACTCTGCCTTGACGCAGGCTGCCCACTACGAGCGTGTTCCTGGTGCTGATCCCGCCTCTGGTTCTGATAGCGGTGCCACGGCCTGGCAGGAGTACCGTACTCGCAGCCCGCGGACGCTGAGGCGGCCAGCCAGGAGCTCAAAGTTGAGCAGACGCTGGTGCACGAGGTGGATACAGTGGACTCTGCCTTGCCGCACGCTGCCGACGTTGGACAGCGTGCTCATGGTGATGAATGATCCTGTCGCTGGTTGCGATGGCGGTGCCTTTGCTGGGAGGTTTTCTCGGAGCCCGCAGGCGACGAGGCGGCCGGCCAGGAGATCAAGGCTGAGGAGCTGGTGGCGTACGAGGGGGATGTCGTGGACTCAGTCTTGCCGCAGGCTGCCGACGGTCGATCGACCGGCGGGGGCTGGGCTGCGCCTTCCGGGGAGAGTCCCCCCTGTCTTCCACCAGAGCTCCCCCTCGGGCCGCAGTCGACCTTCGGGCCGGGCGAAAGGGGGGGACAGCAAAGGGGGGTTTAAGAATCAGCTCACGTAGCTGATTTTCCCGGCGCCTCCTGGCGCCGGAGGCGGCTATGTATCAAGGAATGGGCCCCTCGGTGAGGCCGAAACCAGCTGCATGCAGCAAATTTCGAAACGCCCCCTTTCCCAATCCCCCCCTTTCGCCCGGCCCGAGACCTTCATGGCGCCGTCCGTCTATCCATCCTTCTTTCTCTCTCCTCCTCCCTCCGTCCCACCTCCTGCCCCCCCTCTCACTCATCCCGCCCACCTCCCAACCCTTGGAGGGGGACTGGGCCCCTCCGCGGTCATGCATCTCTAGTCCTGCGCTGCACACGTGGAGACCCCAAGTGACCTCGGGTGTTGCACACGCTCTCGTAGGAGGGCGCGAGCTCCAGGTCAAAAGGAGGCTCAAAGAAGAAGGCTTGCTGAACTCTCGGCCCTGTCCTTCCGCAGAACGGCGCACTTTCAAAGACACACGCTCAGTGTGTGATCTTTGGGATCGGCGCTTCCCGCGGACGGACCCGCATCGAATTCCCGCCCGCCCTCGTGTCCCCCGCCCCACTGTGGCGGCTCTTGATTCCTGGGCGCCGCTCGCCAGAGGGACCCACCCGCATCCACGGCCCCAGGCTGAGATGTCGTCCCCTGCGGCCAGGAACTCTGCTCAGCCTGTCGCGGCGGCGGCTCCGGCGACACGCGATATGCCCCCCGCAGGCGGATATAGCGAGTCGCTCCGCCCGGCGGGGCGGGAGGCTCGGGAAAGCTCGGGACGCTGACGCTCAAGAACGGGGGCGCGGATAGCGTGTCGCGCCCAGGCGTGGTGGGCCAAAACCGGCGCCGCGACGCAAGAAGCCAGAGCTCCCAACCGTAATCCCTGGGTGCCGCTCGCCAGCGGGACCCACCCGCCCTCGAGACGTCGTCGCTTGATTCCCGGACGCCGCTCGCCGGGGCCCAGCCTCCCCCATGGCATCACGTGCCCCCCGTTGCCCCTCCTGCGCGAAGGCCACCTCGCAAGTCACTCCACACACCTGGTCTTTTTCGGGCGTTGGCAGAACTGGGTCTAGTGGGACCTGGCTTAGGGATGCGTACTGGGGGCGCCCCCCAGGCCCCGCTCCACGAACCGGAACTGCCGTCACCCGAAAAAACACCAGCTACGGCAGACCTGGCTTTAGTGATTCTGGCCAATTCAAGGGCTCCAGGGCCCTACCACTAACCGGGTCCCCTTTACTGGGGTCCTGGCTATACCCGAACAAGACACTCCACACACCTGGTCTTCTGTACCTGCGGACACACAAAAAATACACACAAATAATAGGGTTCCCCATGCTTCCCCATATTTTTTTGATTTTCGTCTTGCCCCCCACTTTCCGTATGGATCGACGACTACTTGTGTCTGCGTGTTTTTTCCCTCCTGGTTTTCTGCACCTGCGGACGTTCCTCGCTGCACCTGCCCACGGCCCGCCAGCGGCCCTCGCACGGCCTCCGCGGCGGCCTGCCCGTGGCCCGCGGAGGGGCCACGCCGCGCTGCGCGCACGGCGGTGGGGGCCCGCCCGCCCCCCCGGGCCCCAGCCCGGAGGCGGCGACGCTCGCCTCCTGGGCGCTGCCGGCCAGCGGGGCCCTCCCCCGGTGGTCCCAGCCTCAGGTCGGGCCTGTCCCCCTACAGAGGGATTTCCGACGAAAAAAATAACAAATACTCAAAAAGTGCTCCCAAATGGCCAAAAACATGCTCCCAAAATAGTCCCCGTACTATTTTTGGACTATTTTTGAATAGTCCTCCTGTGGAGGGACAAAGCCCGACTTGACGCTCGATTCCTGGATGCTGCCGGCCAGCGGGGCCCTCCCCCGGTGGTCCTAGCCTGGAGGTGGCGTCTCTCGGTTCCGGGGCGCCGCTCGCCACTCGGACCAGCCTCCTGAAGATGCCGCCAAGAAGGCAGGCGAGTCGTGATGCTCGACCCGCTGAAACAATGCACGCAGGGGGCCCTAAGAGATAACTCACCCAAACCTCATCCAGCTGCATGCTCCTCCATTATCATCGTTCCAATCGTTCCTCCTCCTCCTCCTTCTCCTCCTCCTCCTCCTCTGCCGTCCCCTCCAATTCAAGCTCCTATTCCATCCCTCGGTCCTCCTCCTCCTCAGTCGTTTCCTCACTCTCTCCGTCTTCTTCCCTCCTCCTTCCTCCATCCGGGCACCATGCCTGCCCCCTCGCCCTTTCCGAGAACGTGCCGGTTGCTTCCGGAACAGAACACCGAGGGGTGAGGGTCCAGCAAAACAGCGGGGCCCTTGGGCAGCACTGGCGGCCCATGCAGCACCTCTCAAGGCCAGGTCGGGGCGCTTCCGCACTTTTCCCGCGGCCCGAGGGAGGGTCTCTGGGCCCTGTCTGTATGTAGAGGCCTCCCAGATGGGGTCGGAGCAGATGGGGTCGCAGGATCTCGCCGCATCGCCGATGCATCGCCGGTGCATTGCCGATGCAGTGTCGATGACTCGTCGATGCATCGGCGACGTCGGCGACGCAGCGGCGACGTCCGCGCGGATATGATCGGGCCCCACATCGAGCCGCATCTGCGATGCACCAGCGACGCGGCGCGACCCTCCGACCCCACCTCCGATCCCAATCTGGGAGGACTAAGCACTGGAATGCGAAAACAAATACCTCCGCGAAAAGGTTCTGGCTTCCTCCGCCGCCTGGGGAACCCCCTCCAGGCCCCAGGGACGTCGTTAAACAGTTCGGGATGAAAAGTTGGTCCCGGGAACTGGCCATCGCTCGGACGTCCACTCCCTGTGTTTTTTTCGGTTTCGTGTGTGGTTTTTCGCCAGATGATCAAGGATGCTCCTCGATGGTCCTCGCCGAAGGAAAAATGCACACGTCCGAGCGATGCCAAGGGAAAAGGGAACCAGGCCTCTGGAGACCCACGCTGTGCACCAAATCACGGCGTCAGACCCGTGGGCGGCGGGGCCCCGGAAGAGGCCCCTGCGTAGACCCCAGACGGGCACTCCAAGTGTGAGGCCTCGAGACCTGGGGCCCCGAGAGGAAGGAGGAGGAGGAGGAGGAGGAGGAGGAGGAGGAGGAGGAGGAGGAGAAAGCCCTGCCATGTCCCAGGGGGCATACGCTCGAACCCCTCAACCGGAGGCGTCCCAGACACCCGACGCCGTGACTTTGCCCGCAGCGTGGCCCCAGAGGCTCTGGAGCCCCTCCAGGGGGCCGCCGCCTCGGCCCCGAGACGCTCTGCGGCCGGCCCCGGGGCTCGGCACGGGCTGCCCGGAGGCTGGCAGAAGCCCTCCGCTGGAGGCCCCCGAGATGGGGTGCGAGCAGACGGGGTCGGAGGGCTGCACCGCATCGCCGATGCCTCGGCGATGCCTCGGCGACGTCGGCGACGCGTCGGCGACACCCGCGTGGAGAAAGTCGGTCTCCACATCGAGCCGCATCGTCGATGCATGGGCGATGCGGCGTGACCCACTGACCCCACCTGCTCGGACCCCACCTGGGAGGCCTCGAGGTCCGCACATCGTGCTGCCGCGGGGGGCGCCGGAGCTGAGGAGCCGAGGGGCTCCTTTGGCCACGGCGAGCCTCGGCCACGAAGATGCCCCCCCTTCGGGCCCAGGCTCCGAGGGACCGGCCCGGGGGTCAGAGCCCTTCTGGGCCCGAAGCGGCCCGCGGTGCCGTAGGCGAGGAGAACGTCGGGCTCCAAATCGGTCCGCCCGAGAAACTTGTAGAGTCAGCCCGTATCACAAGGATGCGCGGTAAGGATGCGAGGGTCTTGGCTTGGAGGCCCATGCGAACGTGTTTCGAACGAGGTTGGCCGCCGAAGGTCGCTAAGGATGGGCCGACGGGGCAAGGGTGCAATGGCACCCTGGGGAAGGCTGCCCATCCTTCCTCTGTGGGCTGACTGTGTGTATGGCGCCCGCAGTTGCAGATCAGAGGGGGGGGGTTGCGGGGAGGGTCGCGGGTGGGTCACGAGCGGGTCGCGGGCGAGGACGACGACAACAAACAGCAACAGACCAGACCGCACTGCGGAACCTCACGTCGGCCACGCGGCCAGGGACCTTGAATGACCGCTCGGCCCCAGCACTCGAACTATACCCGAAGATCCCCAGGAGGGCAGGCGAAGGTCCTAGTTGCGGGCCTGGTATACAAAACTCCCCCTCACCGGGGCGAGGCTTCTGCACACGGAGAGTGGCCCCGAGCGGTGGGATCTGACTGGGGCGGGGAGGGTTGCGGGGAGGAGCCGATGCATCTCCGACCCCATCTGGTCAGACCCCAAATGTGGCGGGCCTTGAGGTTGTTGCACTGTAGCGCGTCGGGTAGCGCACAGACGGCCCCCCAAGTAGTCCCGGCTGGCCCGAGTCTAGAATCCAGGGCGGTGTCAGCACCCTGGCGCCGCCTCTGGCGGCGCCCCTGGGGCGTTCCGCGCCCCAGGGTTGGGGTGCCGAGACAGCCCCGGACTCCTCGGGGGGCCAGTTGAAGTCCTCTGGGACTGCTCGGGGGGCCTGTCACGGCAGGCCGGGACTCCCTGGGGGGCTGTCTAATCGCAACCCGAAGCCTCGCGCACCTTTGCACCCTGAGACTGCCACGCAAGAGCAGCACAAGACAGACGTCCCGCCGCCCCCCGCCCCCCCACCCCCCCGGCGGCCAGCTCCTTTCTCGCCCGCACGCGCTCCATGTATCTGCGGGCGGCGCGCGCTTAACCCCAGGCCTCCCCCCTTCCAAAACGAAGGGGGGGGAGACAACCGAGGGGGGGAGAGCGTGGGGCATGAAGACGGGGAGGAGGAGGAGGAGAAGGAGGAAGAAGAGGAGGAGGAGGAGGAGGAGGAGGAGGAAGAGGACCTTTGACCCTGCAAGTCTGGGCGCGCCCCGATATGCGGGGACCCACATTCCTGTCTAGCATCAGTGTCCTGGCGGGAAGCGCTCCCTACTCCTGGGTGGGAGCCCTCTCGGCAAACGAAACAAAACACCACGGCCAACACGCGTGGCCCCCGCAGGAAGGCATAGGTCGACCAACGCCTGAACTTTGTCAACACAGTGCCGACCACACGCCCTGCAAAACAAAACTCCACGAAATCAGTCAAACTGATGACTGCTGGACACTCTGGGAAAGCAGGAATGGGCGAAGACCACCTCAGGGCCATCACGCAAAATCGACCTCCCCGTGCATCTTCCTGGCCAGAAGCCAAAGAGTCGGCCGAGCAAGGCCTTAAACCTGCGTCGGCACACTTGGCACCGCAACAGGCATCTGGCCACACGCACAGCAGAGTGGCCAGCATCACGACAACGCTGCCGACGCACAACATCGACGGGCAACGCCCTCGGCCGAAAGGGTCCCTAATTACCGACGCGATCGGCCATATTGCGGGCACGGGTGACGCGAACCTCCCGATTCACACCACGCATTACTTGGGACGATAAAGAATCAACATCATTCACGGACGTGACATATTCGGGATCTACCTCTCCTTTGACCGCGACTACTCCAGCGAGGTGCTCAGCACACACACACACATGTTTTAACAAGGAGTTCGCCCTTACTCCTGCCCCAGGCCTAACACAACGAGGTGGTCGCACGAACTTGAGTTCGCAATAGCTGAACCATACCACCAGAACGTCGTTCCAAAGCATCCAAAATACTTCACCATAAACCAACCATAGGAGACGCACGGGAAACATGTGCACGCAAGTGCCCGAGTGAACTCACAAAAGGGAGGCCGTGCGAATCGACCACGATGTCGCCAGTGATAGACAATAGGAGCTGCAAGAAAACATACGGTTCAGCACGCGGGCGGGATTGTTCAGGAGAGAAGAGAATCCCACACAGCATCCCGTCGAACTTGAAATCCCCCAACAAAGACGCGGATTACAGCACGAACGCGTAAGAAGCGAATTGCAACTGCTGGAAAAAGATTCAGAGAAGAGGCTTGCGGGCCCCCCCGCCTTTGCGACGACACGGATGACTGCCACGCTCTGTGCACGGTGGCACTGGCCAGGCCAGCAGCCCCAGACGGCACGCCACCGCACGCAGGGGGCCAGCTCCGAGGCGCGCGCTTCGCATTCCCCCCTTCGCGTTCCACGGCCCCGGCGCCTGCCGCGTCTGCCGCGCCTGGCGCGCGCATGCGAGTCGCGCCACTGCGCCCGTGCTGCGCCCGCGCCAGGGTCCCGTGGACGGAGACTGTCTGAGTAGGCCAGGACACTGCGGCGCCCGAGAGAAGCCGCGGGCCGAGCCACTGTCCGGCATTCCTTTGCAACACGTCCTGGCTTCTGCGGCGGGGCGAAAGAGGAGAGCGGGCCCAAGCAGGGGGGAAGCGTTGAGCCAGAATCGGCAATACACCGCCGATAGATCGGCGACATGCTCCCGAGAGCTAATTCGGACGCTCCTGGGCTGGGTGGGCTATCGGGCCCCTTCGGCGATCAGTGTGCGATTGGCGGGTCGTTGCAACCCGCCCCGTCAGAGTACCCCGCCAAAGGATCCTCGTCGTTCGGCTTTCGGGTCATAACTCGGCTCCAGCGGCCGTTCGGGACGACCTGGGCAACACTGGAACGGTCTCGGCGAAGCGCAAGCACCCGAAAACCTCGAACCTCGAACCTGAAACATCCGCCCCCGGCTTGCCATCGCTCGGACGTCCATTCCACGTGCATCTTTCCGATGCCGGGCGTGCTTTCTCCCGCAAGAAGATCAAGATCCTCCTCGGCGGTCCTGGCCGACACAAAAGCACACACACACACACGCACACACACACACACACACACACACACGCACACACACACACGCACACACACACACACACACACACGCGCCCGAGCGATGCCAAGCCAGAGCCAGTCCCCCCACTCGCATGGCCCCTGAGCCCTGCGGGGCCCCGACCCGCGCCCGCGCGCCGCGCTCCCGCACCGGGAGGGCGGTCGGCGCAGCCAGGCGCCGCGCCCTCGCGCGCCCCGCGTGCCGTGCTGCTGCTCGCGCGCGCCGCGCGCCCTCGCGCGAGCCGCGTGCTCTGCCCGTGCCCGGCCGCCCTGCCGCGCGGCGGCGGCCGCGCCCGAAGCCGTCGCGCAGCTGGCACCCTCCCGGAGCGGCCCGGCGCCGCAGGGCGACGCGGCCGCGCGCCGTTCCGCGCGGACAAGGGCGGAAGGACGCAGCCCTCACGGAGCTCAGCGCCCTGGGCCGAAGGAGGGCCCAGGGAGACACGCAGAAGGCGACACTCCTGCAAAGATAGTTCCTCCTCCTCCTCCTCCGCCTCCCTCCTCCTCCTCCTCCTCCTCCTCCTCCTCCTCCTCCTCCTCCTCCTCCCCCTCTTCCCCCCTCCTCATCCTCCACCCTCCCCTCCCCCTCCCTCCTCCCCCTCCCCCTCCCCCTCCTCGATCCCTCGACCCCCCAGCTCGAACAGATCGACGGCGCACCCCAGCCGACACGGCCAGCACCGCGGAAGCCGGCGGAGCGGGCCATGCGCGCCGGAGCGGAGGCGCGGAGGCCCGGCGCGCCGCCCTGCAGCCGACCAGGTGCGCCTGCAGGCCTTGCCCTGGCCGCCAGGCGAGATAATCGTGCGTACGCTCTCTCGCACTCCGCCCCCCCCTCCCCTAGGGGGCCACATGCGAACCCCACCCCTACCCCCCACGATTTCTGAGGGGAAGGGTGGGGTTCACTCCACTCGGGAGTTCCCGAGCGAAGTGAGCCCCCCCCCTCAGAAATCGTGGGGGGTAGGGGTGGGGTTCGCATGTGCCCCCCCCCCTCCCCGCTCCCCTCCGCTCCTCCCCACCTCCGCCGCGGGGCGTCTGGCTCGTGCGGTACAGCAGTGCTCCGGCGCGGTCGTGAGATTTCCGGGGGCGCTCCGAGATCCGCGGGGACATGGCCGTGTGAGAAAGCTCAGCTCTGGTGCGCCAGAAGCAAGACGAGGCCGCGCGGAGGTGGGCAGCGAGGGGGAGCCAACACGGGTCGCATGCCCGTGTCTCCTATTGAGGAAGACCGCGGTGCCCGCAAAATCGCCGGCGGGGGGAGGACAAATAGACCGAGACCCTTACGCCCCGCACCGCTCTCGGGCCGCTGTCTGGCCAGGACCCCGAGGGACACCCCGGCTGTGGCGAGGAGCTCGGTTCATGTCAAGAGCGCGCTGGGCGTCGTGCTTCTGCTCTTGCTTAGGGGCGTTTTCTATCCTTTCGAACTGAAGCGTTCGCAAAACAACTTGCTGTTGCGTTTGGATGCTTGACACTGTGGCAGAACATGCTTCGCCATGCCTTGTCTCTCTCGTTGCAACGCCAACGATGCGGCAGAACATGTTTCTCCGTGTGTTGTCGCTCTCATTACAAGGCCAACGCATGCCGTGATCCATGCGCCGCGGTAGGCATTGAGGCTCCTGAAACGCACAAGCACAAGCACGCCTTTTACAGTAGCTGAAGCGACGAAGGCCCCCACCAGGAGGCTCCAGAGGACAAGCACGAGGAACAGATATGGGTACTGGTGTGCTGTGCTCCCTTGAAGGGGGAGCGTCTTAAACCCGCGCGCGCGTGCCGTTCGTACCACGATCCAAGCGAAAGAGATCGCAAAACAGGCCCACAACCCGAATCGAGAGGGGTGAATGTCAATCCTGCACTGTGTAGCGACGTGCCGCCCAGGACGAAGCAGCGGCCCCGAAGCCCTGCCCCAGCACATCACCAGCTGGGGCCGGCAACCGCACCGCACCCCTGGCCACTGTGGATTTTTTCCGTCGCGGCGCGGCAGAGGCGATCCGCTCGTGTGTGGAGTAGGGCTACGGAGTTACAAATTGCCCCGCATGCAGGAGGAGGCGGAAAGGAAGAAGGGGGCGGCCGCGGGAGGAGGGGGGAGAATCGGCTGCACGCAGGCGCGACCCCAGGTGAGGTGTGACCCTGGGTGGGCGGCTCTTGGGGCGCCGTGGGGGAACCGAACGCAAGCGAGCAAGACGCCACCGTCGCATCGCGCTCGGCGATCAGGGGGCCCCAATGAGCCCGCACGCGGGCGCACCCAGGGGAGGGACCAGGCCACCGGGCGGCGAGGGCGGCGACGAGGGCGGCGACGAGGGCGGCGAGGCGCCAAGCACAGCAGGGAAGAGGCGGCGAGGAGGCCGGGAGCAAGGCAGAGGCCCCCCTCCTGCCGCCGCCGCCCTCGCCGCCGCCGTCGCCGTCGCTGCCAAGTGCCGCGCCGGGAGGGGGCAGGCAACCGACGCCGTGACTTGTTCCATGCTCTGCTGCCCAGCGGTGGTCTGGACTGAGACGCCTGCCCGCGGACCGACGGTGTTCTTCCTCGCGGGTCGCTCTCTCACGGCCCCGGCCCCCGGCACAGTGGGGCCCCCGGCACCCGGGGCCCCGGCACAAGGCCTCCGGGTGTGATTCCTTCGCGCAACGCGAGGGTGCGAGGGTATGCGTGAGGGTGGGCGGCTCCTGCGGCCCTCCTCCTGCAGGAAGAGCACCGCCGCGTGCATGCGCTCCAGCTGGCCGCGGCGCTGCTTCTCGACTAGCACGGCCACCCGCATCTCGTTCTCCTTGGCCCTGTACTCCTCGGCGGCCCTGGCCTCTCCTCCTGGCCCGCCTTGGCCCCTGGCACCCTCCTCCTTCTCCCTCCTCCCTCCCTCTCCTCCTCTACTCCTCCTTTTCTCCTCCTCCCAACTCCTGCTCTCCTCCTCCTCCTATTTCTGTCCCTCCCCCTGTTTCTGTTCCTGCTCCGCCTTCTACCCCTCCTCCTCCTCCTCGTCCTCCTCTTTCTCCTCCTTCTCCTCCTCGTCCTTGTGCGTCTTTCCTTCTCTTCCTCCTCCTCCTTCTCCTCCTCCTCCTCCTCGTGTTTGTGCCCCACGCTCTCCCCCACTCGGTTGTCTTCCTCCCCCTCGGCTTGGAAGGGGGGGGAGGCACCCATGTCGCACCCCGAAGCCAATGTTTAGGGCGGGCCGGGCGTTTCGCCTGAGACTTCCTCACCACTTCTGACCCTGAAGCTGAAACGTTGACAACAGTTTCACAGATGGAGGGCGGGCCGATTTCAAAATGCAGCTCTCACCTTAGCGCCGCGCACATTCGTTTGTTCAAATTTACAGGAGCTTCACGGATTGACGGGGGTCCGTTTTCAAATGGTGGCTCTCGCCTTAGCGCCGCGTGCATTCGATTGAAAATTTGCGCAAGCATTCCATGGATTGCAGGCGGACCCTTTTCAAACAATGGCTCTCGCCTTAGCGCCGCGCGCATTCGTCTGTAAAGATTTACAGGAGTTTCACGAATTGAAGGCGTCTCCTCTTCAACATGTGGCTCTCGCCCTAACACAGCGCACATTATTTTCAAACATGTGCAAGCATCTTACGGATTGAAGGCGGTTCCTTTTCAAACTATGGCTCTCGCCTTAGCGCCGCGCACACTCCTTGGTAAGATTTACAAGAGCTTCACGGATTGAAGCCAGCTCCTCTTCAAAATGCGGCTCTCGCCTTAGCGCCGAGCACATTCGTTGGTAAAAGATATCCAGGTTTCACAGGTTCCCATGGTCAACGTACCAGCAATGGTGTCTTTGATCGATCCATGATTATGACGGTGCAACAATTACGTTGATTCGCGGTGCTGGAGTGACAGGAATGGCGTTCTGGCACAATCTAGGATCGTCAAGACGCAACAGTCAAGTTGATCCGTGGCGCTGGCATCCCGAGAACAAGTTTTCAGCATGCTTCAGAGTCTTCAAACGGTTGTCTTCCAACGAAGCAGTTCCCTCAGTGGAAAAGAACCGTTGAAGGGGTCTGTGAAGAGGGAGCTTGGAGGGAGCGAGTATTCCAACATCGTTGATACCACTTGGGTTTGAAGCTCCACCCCCACCCTCATCATCTCACCACCCCCCTCATCGATGCATCGTCATCGCCACCAGCACCACCATGATCATAACCATCCCTCGCGCAGGCTCCTGCTGCTCTTCCCTCTCGCTCTTGCCCGCGGCCCTTAGATCAGTCGAAGCAGATGCGGCCACGGGCTCCTCACCCCTACAGGTCCTGGTCATCCTCGCCCTCATCGTCCGCCTGCCGCCCCCTCTCTCCACGTGCCAGTGTCTCCGCCCTGTTCCTCTCCTCCTCCTCCTCCTCCTCCTCCTCTTCCTGATGCTCGTCTTCCTTCTCTTCCTTCCTCCTCCTCTTCCTCGTCTTCGTCTTCCCTCCTGCTTCTTCTTCTTCTTCTTCTTCCTCCTCCTCCTCCTCCTCCGCCTCCTCCTCCTCCTCCTCCCCCATCTCCTCCCGCCCTTCCCTCCTCCTCCTCCTCCTCCTCCTCCCAATCGTCCTCGTCCTCGTACTCATCATTACCATCATGAGCATCGTGATCATCATGAGCATGATCATGATCATGATTAGAATCATCATCCTCATCAGCAGCAGCAACATCATCATCACCATCATCATCATCAATAACATCATCAGCAGCAACATCATCATACTCACCATCGTCACCATCAGCATCATCAGTAACAGCATCATGATCTTGTTCAACATTATCATGATAAACATCGCCATCCCCTCCATGATCAGCACCTTCATCATCCTCATCATCACCATCGTCATCAGAATCATCATACTCATCACCATCGTCATCATCATAAACATCATCATCGTCGTCATCATCATCACCATCATAATCATGCTAATTAACATCGTCATCATCGTCATCATCATCATCGTCGTCATCATCACCATCACCATCAACATCAGCATCAGCACCAGCATCATCAGCATCATCATGATCAGCATCATCATCATCATCATCATCACCCTCGTCAACAACCATCCTCATCATCAACATCATCAGCATCACCATCATCAACATCATCATCATCATCATCATCATCATCATCATCATCATCATCATCGTCATCATCCTCTTCTTCCCCCCCCCATTCCTCCTCCTGTCTCCTCCTCCTCCTTGTCCTCCCGAACCCCCACTCCTCCTCCTCCTGCTGCTCCTCCGCCTCTTCCTCCTCCTCCTCCTCAGCAAGTATGCTCACCCTACAGCGACTTGGCTGGACATGGCCTGGCTGGCGCACAATGTGTTTGCACACCGGTGAATTGTGGACATGCGTTGTGCAGCGCCCAGTACCATGAGTAAGTTCATCTACGGTGGGGGCATTGGACAAGGAACCTTCGATGAGGCATCCAGTGTCTGGAAGCCAGTGGAACTCCAATCGTGGATTGGCCATGGATGTCACTGCCGCCTTAATCAGACAAGGAATCCTCCAGGGTCTGATGCCTCCTGGGCATATTCCTGAATGAACACCCCCACCGCATCTCGCGTCGGAGGATCAGGAGCCCACAGATCAAGCCGTCCAGAGCGGGCGCGCCGTTTCGCAAGCCGTTGCTCGAGCCGTGCCGCGCAGTGCTCGGATCCAAGAGGAGTGGACTGGGGCAGCGGCAATACAGCAGCAATGGTGGCTTATTCTGGATGTGGCTTTTGGACCCAGGGTACTGGCCGCTCAGAAGGTCGAAGCTGTCAGGGATGCTGCGGGCGTGCCACTGGGAACCAGCGTCACCAGCTCCGGAGGTGCCCAGCCTTTGAAGGGCAGAAGAAAGCTGCGTGAGAGAAGCTCTCTGAGATTGTTCACCGTGCTGCTACCTCTCAATCCTCCTCCCGTTTTTTCTCCAGGGCTCTCGCACCACATCCGCTTGGCGACCCTATCCAGGATGTGACCCCTGCGGCCGAAGCCCTCGACCCCGATTTCGGGGATGACCCTCTCCTGTCGGGCCTCGCGTACTCCGATGGGTCGGGGATTGGGGCCCAGGGGCTCAAGGCCTGCGGTTGGGATCGCTTGCTTCCTTGACGATGAGGGCGACGTCAGAAAAGCAATGCATGGCACCGTTCCTGGAGTTATAGCCTCGACCAGGGAGTTCTGAGAGCTGAGCTATGGGGGTTCCTGCAGGTCCTTTGTCATGGGGCCGCAACCCTGCGAGCAAGCATTAGACAAGGCCAGCGCGTGCCGAGGGCACAGGCGCGGGCACGACTGGAATTGCCGGGCGCGCTGGCCGCACACCGACCTCTGGCATATTGTCTGGGATGTGGTGATCCAGGATTCGTGCTCGGGTGAGGGGGACCTCGTTGTGGTGAAGGCTACAGCGCACTCCAAGAAGTCTGAATCAGAGCCGCTCGAGGGAATCGAGAGCACAGATGCTCTAGGCCACCAAGCCACAGATCTGTAAGCGAAGGTGGGCGCCCGCCTCAAGGAAGGTCTCCCGCACCTCTTGTTCCACTTGGACGTCGCGCTCGAACGAAGTTAGCGCGATGTTGGGCCTCGTAGGAGCCATCACTGCTGATGTGGTTCGGCGCGTTCGGTGACACCAGTGGCCGTACCAAACATGCCGCCCAGTCTCCTGGCCCCCGTCCGAGTCGTGCCCCTCTCTCCTCCCCCTGAGAGTCGGAGTGCTGTGGGGTGGCATCATGGTCGTGGTCAGGGGCCAGGATTGAGCAGGGACCGACAGTCCCGGCATTTCTATAGGCCTACCACGACATGCTCTTTAGAACCCAAAGATGTTCTAAGAACAAAAACAATGCTCTTAGAGCATAAGCCCGATGTGTTACAACAAGACAGTCCCTGCCAGAAGCGTTCTGAGAACATCTCGTGCAGACCCAAAAGGTTCTGAGAACACTCTCTGGCAAGCCTATGGGGGAGCCAGGACGCTTCGCCCCTGCCTGGCAGGAGAGCCTGGCAACGGAGCCAAGGCTGCGCTCTGTCGAAGGTGCTGCGGGCAAACCTTCGCCTCGACAGGGGGTCGGGAAGGAGGCTTCGCGCGCCGACCTTGCTCCTCTCGGAGGGGCCAGGACGGCTCCAGCTCACGCGTGCAGCCCACAATCGAAGGGGCCCAGGGGCACACAGATAACTACACACAAATCCCAGGACTCCCCAGATGTTCCCATACTTTTTGGAGTTTCGTCTTCCCCCCCACTCCCCATATTTTCGCAGATTTCCGGGGGAGTCGACGAGTCGTTGCGTGTTTTTTCCCTCCTGAGTGATGTCTTCTGTCGAAGCTGTGGCGCGCCAGTGCTCGAGCTGGTGAGCTGCTGACTGCATGTCCCAAGGACCCCAGGGACTACAATGCCCAGACTCGACGCACCAGGTTTATGCACTGGACGGTCGGCACCCGTGCAGGGACACGCGGCTACGCCGGCGGGGTGTTTGCCTTGTCTCGTTAAGGAGAGGCTGGCAGTTCTGGAGTCGATCGGCCTCCCTGCGTTCAGAGGGGCCGTCGAGGGCTGAGCTGGGAGAGCGCAGGCGGACGCGAAGCACTCGCCCATCCTGCAGTCGCGGGAGCCCTCCTCGTCCTGATCCTCCCCACCCCTCCACCCCCCCCTGACCTCCTCCCCCCACACTCCTCTTGCCCCCTCTTGACGTCGCGCTGACTCACGGCCACAGCCTCGATGCAACAAGGATCGCCGACTTAGGCGGAGTGCAACACAAAGTCAACCTGGCTGGCGCAGCAAAAAAAATGCCTCTCCTCCCCCCTCCTCCTCTTCCTCCTCCTCTTCCTCCTCCTCTTCCTCCTCCTCCTCCTCCTCCGTC